GAGTTTAGAGCTGTTGTACATAGGGTCGCTATGAGTCGCAGACGACTCGACGGCACATAACAACAACAACAACAACAATGAACTTCACTCTTTGTATCACAACTGTGAATAAAGTCTGTGAGTCAACAAAGAATATCAAACCCAGTGATTGGTGGCAATAGGTACAGGAGCATGGGGTTGGGGGGCATGCTGGAATAGCAGCAGCTATGAATATTATTGATGGGGACATTTCCCCTTTATGAAGCAGTTAGAAGTCAGACTTGGCCACCTCCATGCTACATCTGTTTCTTTCACAATTCCTATCATCTTGGAATGGCATTATTCTGAAATGCTATGGACTTATGTTTATGTCTAGAAACGATACAAAGAAAGAATATGGAAGAACAAGATCTTTAGGAAAGCAGACCATATAGTTCTTGTTAGGTGCCACTGAGTACAACCCACAGCAACCCTATGAACAACAGATATAAATCCTGTCCTATCCAATGTCATCCTCATACTTCCTGACACACTAGAGGTCATTTAGAGATAGGTACAAAAGAAGAAAAAGAAAAATTTTAAAGGGCATTATTATAAGCCAAGGTACAGCACAACTTCATAATGACAAGCATAGTATTCTAGAAAACTGAAGTTACTACTGTAATGGGCCTTAAGAGTTAAGCTGATATGCAACTCAAATTTTTTTACATTTTAAAAAAGTATTTAGTAATTATTCTTTATTACAAGTCTGCTGAATGCTGCAAAGCTAGTATCCACAGCAATCACCAAATTTTTTAATCCTCTGAATATGAGACTAAAACGTCTATCTAATAATTTATGTGAGATTCATTAAGTATTACCAACCTTGGCTTCCAATATTGGCAACTTCTACTCCAGTGTCCATTTTTACACTTTCAAGAATGACAGCTTCATCATTACCACCATCATCATCTTCCTTCTCAGAATCTTCAAGATCACCCCAAGAGTTTTCTATACCTTCTCCAATTTGGGCAGTTCCAGGAGTCCATAACACAGGATTAGAAACACTCCACAAGTTAAGAAAACAGAAAAGCAAATATACTATTTGAAACAAAATAAAAATTAGTTTTAATATGATTCAAGTGTATCTCGAATGCTCGGAGAAAATTTCTAACCACTAAACTATGAATATCTGAACACTGTGGAAGACAGAAAGTAACAAGTGCAAGCAAGATTTTATAAACATAATAATGGTATGAATTATCAAAAGGGATGGCTCAATATTTGCATTATACTAACATTTTTAGTGAGCAGATAATGTCAACAGTGCATAAAGTGCTTGATTATGCCATCAAATGAGGAAAAGAACAATACTTTTCCAGAAGAAAATGAAATGCTGTATATTCTTTCTTAAAATACAGAATTCCCTGATTTTCCTAGGATAGCTAGAGAAGCTGGATGTTATTTCAGTGACTCATTATGACTTGTGATTAAAACCACTACCTTTTATCTTAAAATTATTTCACCAGTTAGCTAAGAAAGACAAACAAATACACTTACAAAACCAAATTTCAGTATGCAGTCTGGCAGTAATTAGACTATTGTTATGAGAACAAAAATAGCTATTTTGTATTACTTATAAAAACCACCCAATAAAGATACACTTCTGAAGGAGGGTCTGCTTCAGCAATGATTTCTTCAGCTTTCTCCCCTACACTGGAGGTGTCAACAGGGGCCTTTTCCATTTTAAACGCTGTGATCCTCTGATTTGCTATAGATTCTGCAAAGCCAAACTTTCCACCTTCTTTCCTGTGTATAAGGATTTTTTTTATTTTTCAGAAGGGATAAAGGTGAGAGAAGACAATGCAAAAAGAAGTTACTATTTTATCCTTGGATGCATAAGCAATATTGGAACAGAGATGGTTCACTACTTTAATCTTTTTAATTTTTTTACATTGACTTTTTAATTAATTACACTAGTTTATTTACAAAATTAGAATACATTTTCAGATCAGATTCTTCTAACTTCCTTCACCCCCACCCATCAAATTGTACAACCCCAAGATTAATTCATCCCCTTCTCCGGCACATCCTCATTCCTCTGCTTCTACCCTCCCCCCCTTTTAATCTGAACAGTTTATTATGTCTGTCAAGATACTGTAATTACTTTCTTTACCTGAATGTGTTAAATAGGTGCTGAATGTATGTTATGCTCTAATCTTCAAATGAGTTCTACTGGTTACATAGTAACTTTCCGTGTTATAGAAAACTGGTGTGTTAGGCTATGGAGCTTACTTTAAGATGACAGGTAATGATGAAAATCAGAACTATAATTTGTGTTCTTTCCATTATTTAAGTTACTGGATTCTTTTTCCTAAGAAAATGTTAATTTCCTAAGAAAAATGTTACCTGACTTTTCAATTAATACATGTTAGATTTAAACACAAATAAAATATAATGGCCAAAGTTAAATCAGCTTTCAGAAGACATACTAAGTATCCATTTGACATTATAAAGAAAGGGAAGATCAAGTGTGAAAATCATATGGTCCTCTTTGTGAAAGAAAAGACCTTAAAAAAAATCTAGTGAAGGACCATTTCATTATGAAAAAAAACCTTACCTTACTTTCTGGTCGTTCTCCAGTGCTTTCTGTATTAGTTCTGTAATTTCTGCTACTTTCACACCAGCTATTTTACTGCATCTCATAACCTATTTATAAAAGTAAACTCTATTAAAGATAACAAACTACATGGCTTTCTCTAAACAATAGCCAAAAATTTATCTAATAGAGTTGTTTTTTTTAATAAATCTTTTCAATTTACTTGCTCTTTAAAAAACGAAAATAATGCAATGTAAATATAAACTTGGGCAAAATATAAGAAGTATTTTAACATATTTGCATGAGTAATCTGAATACCTATGATATGATAATGTATAAACTATTACTGAAGTGCGTTCTCAGGGATGCACTGCTTTTCTGATTAAGGAATCCACCCCAGTTCAAGACATGGCTTTACAGTATCCCCTGGTAGGCTTTTATTAAGCAAAGAAATCCCCAAACCTCAAGGGCTTAAGATTAAAATCACTGGAGCTAGGGAGCTGCATATTGTCTGTGAGGCTGCTAACAGTGATGATAATGACAGCATGTACTGAGTACTTAATACATCCGAGACCAGTATGCCTATCTATCCTCTCTAAGCACTACAGTAATATAACTATAAGCAATAATATCACTATTTGTCTAAGTTCGGCTGATAGAAAGCAGAGCTGGAAGTTGAGCTAAAGCAATCAGGGATCTTCACCACCTATCCTATACAAAACACGGCAATATCGGTTAGAAAAGTCTCCAATTGAATCTGGTTAAGTAGTTAGATTTGAGAATGAGAGCTTACTATACCCAAATTCTAAAAAAAACAAAACTATTTAAATTTCTATTTCATGATCCACCTATATTCATTGGCAGGAACATGGATCTCTTAGTTGTTTCAGATGAAAACTGTGCTCAACTATCCTAAATGGTCACTCAGGGAGGCCAAAGCAAAAGGAGGGCCTGTCCTAACCACCAGGGAACAGAAGGCATTGGTAGTACTGAAACCTGATTCAAACACATCCTAGAAGTAACCACTGCATGACTTCTTGAATTTGGGTCAAAAGACAACAAAAAGGTGCTAAAGAGAAGCAATCTATTATTAACACATGATCCAAAGCACTAACTTGATCTTTCAGTAGCATTATCCCACCACTGGACTGAATGGTACAAATCTCTCGATGTTTGTTCATTGCAATCACCAGCAAGCCATCCATTACACGTTCTTCACGTTCATTAGGATCCACCAATAAGTATGTTCTGAAATGAATGTTAAAATAATCCTGAACATATCTGAAATATTGAAAGCGCATCATTTTTAGGAAAATGTTATACTTTTTAAAAGATAGTATATAGTCAACATAAGCCAATGATTTAATTGTGGGTTTACTCATTTAAATAAGAAGAAAAAATTGTTTCTATAGACATAAAATGATTAACAAGTGCTTTCTTCTATTATAGTTAAATCACATCGGTTTTGTATTACCGTCTGTTTCTGTGCTGTCCAAAACATTAGCCACTGCTGCCATATGGTTACTAAGTCTCTGAAATTAGAGTAGCTAATCTTTATAGAGATGTAGGATCTAAACTGGATTTCAAAGACTTAGTGGAAATAAAAAGTAAAATGTCTTATGAATAATTTTTTAAGATATTTTTATTAAATACGATATTTAGAGTAGTTAAATAAAATATATCAAAATTAAATTCAACTGTGACTTTATACTTTTCAATATGGCTACTAGAAAAGTAATCTTGTTGCAGATGACGAAAGACTATATATAGCCTTCTTTCTATATGGGTTACATCTCAGTATCAAGAATACAAAAATCCTCACTTCATTTTATGTGGTTCCAAAAGCAACCCCATGAAAGCAGCAGTCAAGAAATCAGAAGACATTACCCTGGGAAAACCTGCGGTCATGGACTTCTCCAGACTGCTACAGAGTAACAATGGCAATGACTAAGGTGCACCTGATTAAAGAGAGAGTATTTTAAGTTTCTTCCTATCCATCTGAACCGTGAACAATAAATAAGGGTGATGGAAGCTGTAGTACTCAAGAGGAGGACTCAATTTCCCATGGAATGTTAGAAAGAACAAATAAATCTATCTTGGCGGAAGTGATCCCTGGAGTCAAGGATAGTGAAAAAACTTCATCTTACATACTTTTTGCATGTTGTCAGGAAGAACCAGTCCTTGGGACTAGGAAAGTTAGAGGGTCACAGAGAGTTAGAACCATCAACAAGATGGGCTGACAGTAACAATGGGCTCAAGTGCAGCAGAGATGATGAGGATGCTAACAACACAGGGCAAGGTTCACAACTGTTGTTCGTAGGGTCGCTGTAAGTCATAGTCAGTTCAACAGCACCAAATGAAATAACAACAACTGGTAAGTTAAAATTACATATACGGCTCCTATTGTTTTACCCTAAAAAAGTTCTACATGGCCGCTGACTTAAAAACCGAAAGTTTACATACGACTAAAGATTCCATTTAAAGGCACCTCCGCATGCCCTAAAACTAAGGTTTTTTGCTATGAGAATTTAGCAGTGAGTTATGAAGAGAATTGATAAACAGCTAAAGGAAAAGTAATTTATTAAGTTTTGTAAAGCCTTTCTCCTGTGACTTGCTCCTAGAACTAATCCATTTAAATGTGCTCCATGATCCCATTTTCTGTTAATGCATAGGAATTCTCAATCTACTTTTTAAAACTGTCTAGCATAAAATTCTCTCTCCTTAAGAAAGTAAATACACTGTAATGCCAGACCAAATTTCGACATATATAAATGTATGTCATTTATAAGGAAAAGAAAAACACTAGAAGTGTCTTTGTTGTGGAAGTTTGTCCGATCTATTGAGGAAGTTTTTTTACCAACTAATGGTCTTACATAGGTTAAGGATGGACAATCTCCTCTCATGCAATCTCCTGCCTTTGAAAACCCACTGGA